GTGGATAGGTCCTCGGTGCGAGACTGCTAGCGAGCTATATCCACCCTGAAGGTTAATCTAGGAAAATATCTGATGATCGACTCTTTTAAATGAAACCAGAGAGCGTTGACAGAGAGGAGAAATTAGAAACGACTCAGCCTGGAACTGAAAATTTGGATGGAGGACCTCAGTTTAGCTTCTCATTTCTATCTCCTCTCTGTCAACGCTCTCTGGTTTCATTTAAAAGAGTCGATCATCAGATATTGTCCAAGATTAACCTTCAGGGTGGATATAGCTCGCTAGCAGTCTCGCACCGAGGACCTATCCACATCATCATTTACCCAGAATGCTTTGTGTGCAAATAAAATGGCCCCGTCCGTGTTAAAATATATTTTAAAAAATTTGGTTTCAAAATTAAAAAACTAAACATCCTACAGTATATTTACAGTCTTTATTTTACAGTTAAAATAAATGTTTATAAATTAAAGTCTAATGTTACAACTAATCCTGTATCCCTTTAAGCCTTTGCCTATACTGCCTATGCCACGGGTCGGCCCTGAATCCAAAAATTCACTTAAAAAAATCACTGACTCAGGTAAGACACATAGTAGCTCCACACACTTCAGACTTTTGTGTGATCAGTTTAAGGGATCGGAGAAAAGAAGTGTTGAGTGACGTAAAGAGATGAATCGATCTCAAGGAAAAAGCATGAAGAGGTAAAACCATCTCAGGACAGCCTGCGGCAAGAAAACCAGAATAACAGCAGCTGTGACTTTTTCCTGAAATCAACCTGGAGAAATGTTTCAGGAAGAAAATTCAACAAAAGAGGAAAAGTAAAAGGAGACACTGTTTATTAAAGTGTTTGCTAAATTACGAAATGTCAGCGAAAAAACCCTCTGAAACCAAGTGTTTCTGCTCAGTTTGTGTTCATGTTGTGTGTTCTGACTCCAGGGACTGGTTCATGAATGGAAATTACCTGATTATCATTGTGACGATCTGCATCATCCTCCCTCTGGCCACCATGAAACACCTGGGTACGTCACTTCTTTTGTCACACCAATGCTTGGACATAAATATGGGATAAATCTTGTGCCAACAGGAAGTGAATTTGAATTGCTCAGATTGAATCTGAATGTGCAGAATTTGAAAATGAACGCATTGATTTGAAAATGAATTTCACTAAATTGAAACAGAATTTAAAGTTTTCTATCTAAATGATTTTGCTTTGAATCTGTATTTTAGTTTATTAAAAATTCAATTTCACTACTTTCACTTTCAGTTCCATAATTCAGATTTTTGTGTCACATCCTGGTCCTTGAGAAAGCCAGGCAGAGTAATCAAACACAGATCCACAGATTTATGTTTCACTTTGGTGAAGTTTCCCTTCTGGATGTAACAGAGTTGATGCAATCCACTGTAAAAGTGACAAAAACACACAAAGTTATTTTATTGCAGTGATTAATTTGACCTGTATGTAGAAAATGTTACATTTACATCATGGATCAGTCAGCAGCAGATCAATATGTGATCTAGCAAATTCAGATTCAAAACTTTAAATTCAGTTTCAAATCATTAAATTGTTTCAGTTTAGTAAAATTAATTTTCAAACCAATGCATTCACTTTCAAATTATGCACATACAGATTCCATCTGAGCAATTCAAATTCAATTCCTGCTGGCAAAAGATTTATCCCATACATAAACCTCTCTCAGTCCGTGTTCTAGACCGGACCAGACCAGAACCTTCGATTGGACAGAAGTTCCAGTTTTCAGGAAGAGGTGGTGAACTGATAAATATCAACACATAATTTATAAATCTGCAATAAAAGGAGACAATTCTCCTTTATTTAGCTTGGTAAGGTTTTTTTAAGCTGACAAATTACAGACAAAAACAAGTTAAATGATGTCAAATTGGTCCTAAACCTGCAGGTCCTGGAAAATTTATTTTCTGTTAGTGTTGGTCCAGTTTAATGTCTAGAACTCAGCTTTGCACTAAACGTTTTGTCTGTCAGTATTTTTAGTGTTTTTCTGTCCTGCAGGATATCTGGGTTACACCAGTGGATTTTCCCTCTCCTGCATGGTCTTCTTCCTATCTGCAGTAAGTTCTCCCACAAACAATGATTGGTCCATTAAGTGGTGCTAACACCAGCTTATCCATGCTAGTCGCTAGCCTCTTCGATGCTAATGCCAGCTTATCCATGCCAGTCGCTAGCCTCTCCGATGCTAATGCCAGCTTATCCATGCTAYTCHCTAGCCTCTCCGATGCTAATGCCAGCTTATCCATGCTAYTCSCTYGCCTCTCCGATGCTAATGCCAGCTTATCCATGCTAGTCCCTGGCCTCTCCGATGCTAATGCCAGCTTATCCATGCTAGTCCCTGGCCTCTCCGATGCTAATGCCAGCTTATCCATGCTAGTCGCTAGCCTCTCCAATGCTAATGCAACTGAGGCCTCTCAGTTAGCGGGGCCAGCTGCTCAGTGGTGCCAGCCTATATCATTAATCAGATCAATAGGTGGTTTAGCAATAGATATAGCCTCCTGTTACAAGGATGTTGCAACTGCTGGTTGTGCAATAGTCTTCACTTTGGTCCGCATACTGCACCATATTAATGGTGTTGAAGATCCACAGTTTAGTTGTTTGGCTGTCAGATAAATCAGAAAGTAATGTCATGAATGATTGGGGATTTAACCCAAAGATGTAGACTGACATCAATAATAAGATTGGAGCTAATGAGAGGAGTGGCTGCAGCTGTGGCAGGTTTAAATGGGCGAGGCTGGGGAACAGAATTAAACACAAAAATCATCAAAAATAAATATTGTCAGTCCATGTTTTTAACACCAAACCTGAAGCCCTCAGAGAAAAACTCCAGCCAACATCCAGGAAAATCTGGTGGTGATGCCTATGAGTCCCATTGGTGCCATTTTTTGGTTCCGTAGGGGTTATAAGTCCCACCCCTCTATGTAAACACCAGGACATCACCAAACATGGAATCACATGATGTCATGATCAGCAAAGAAAACAAAGAAAAGAGGAGTAAACATGCTCCTGCTCAGTCTAGTTCCTGGGTCCAGTTCAGCACTATCGTCTAAAACTGTTTGTTTACATCAGAATAATTCTGTTGTTCACCTGAGCTGAACTGCTTTAAAGACCAGATTTCAAACCTGTTGTTTCTCCAGAACTGTCGTTAACTATTTTTGGCCTCCTTTATTTGTCACATTAGGTCATCTACAAAAAGTTTAACATCTCTTGTCCTCTGGAAACGTATGGAAACCACTCTGTGAGCACGGTGACCTCAGATGACACGTGCACCCCCAAATACTTCACCGTCAACCAGGAGGTAAGATCTGTGGGTCTGAAGGGGCCGTAGACCTCGATTTGGACCATGGGGGGTGCTGGGTATCAGCTCTGAGCACTTGTACGGTCCGAAACTAACGGAGGGCTCATGTTTCAGCTGCACGTGTTCCTCAGTTTGTCCTTCCATGAAAAGTGAAACCAGATCTGTTCTTGGATTTACAGACGGCGTACACCATCCCCATCCTGGCCTTCGCCTTCGTCTGCCACCCTGAAGTGCTTCCTATCTACACCGAGCTGAGGAAGTAAGATTTACAGTTTTCTAACTGTGATAATCACCAACAAACTGAGACAAGTCTAAAAAACTGGAAACAAACCTGAAAGCCTACATGAAGTAAAAAATTAAGATTTGCTGCTGTTATTTGATATGTTTAGGTTCTGTGGAAGTATTAGATCATATCTTTAAATAAATGTTTCTCTTTAAGTCCAACCAAGAGAAGAATGCAGAATATTGGCAACGTTTCTATCTTGGGCATGTTCACCATGTACTTCTTCACAGCCATATTCGGTTATCTGACATTCTTCGGTGAGTACATCCTCTCCACGGTCACCTTAAACACCGGTCGACACTGTTATTTTTACCCAGACAATCATTTTGACTCAGTTATGAAAGTGAAAGGCTTTACATTAAATGAACTGATCATATAGAACATCACATCATCAGCAAAAATACACACACAAAAAAAGAAATGCTTGTTTTGATAACTGTTTTTAACTTAATTTCCCTCTGGGATCAATAAAGTATTTTTGAATTGAATTGAATTGAATTGAATTGAATTGAATTGAATTGAATTGAATTGAATTGAATTGAATTGAATTGAATTGAATTGAATTGAAT